AACATTTTAATGACTGATGATTAACATGCTGTAATACACAGTTCAAAATTAAAGGCTCAAATGCTGTATATGAGAGGTTAAGCTCCCCCTGGCGGCGCCGGATAGTTAGTCACGTGACACATGTGAAATGCGTGATACCGCGTGATGTCGTGACAACCCACCGGGGTAGGCCGCGAAATACCTCACCCATTTTGAATGGCTGCATCTGTATGTTGTTTTCTGTGGTAGAACATCTGTAAGCATATACATTAGTTCCATAAATTCATTTAATTTGTAGAGGCTCAAGTGGAGCATGGGAAATGGGCAACTGGAACCTTACGATCTGTTCTAATGCTGCATGCAGAAATGATAGACAGGTATACCTACTATACATGGTGAACATCCCACATGGTGTTTTGGTAATTAGGGCCCCTTTAATTTACTGTATGTAAGACTTCAAGTTCTGAAGGGCTAAAAACACTACCTAGATCTCCAGAGTATTGGCACAAAATATCAGCTTCATCATCAGCTTCATCTACTACTATAGTAGACATGGAAGAAAAATGAGAAAAAATGTCTACACTACTACAAAAGAATTTCTTGCACCTCTCATACAGTATAGTTTTGCCAAGAATTTATTAGAGGTTTGTATTGCTACTCTTGCTGTTCCTTTATTTTCTACCATTATTCTACAAATATTCTTACAAGCAAGGATGAAACCAATGCAAAATAAATAGTTTGAACTTCTGTCCATGTTCTGGCATATTGTGATCTTAGCAGCAGTTTTAGACATGAGGCACACGATCTTGTGAATGTATTGAATGGTTTCTCTAGACATTGGCATTCACAAAACATGGATTGCAGTGACACTTCAGGCATTTTAATTGTAAGGAATGTCTTAATACCAACAGTTGTACACATACTACTGTATGTGTTTGGCAGACACTTTCCCTTTGGTTCATGCAATTCCACTGTGTAATTTTCAAATCAATGACAGAATAGTCATATGATGTAGTATCCGAAATTCAGTAATTCGAAACACAGCCACTGTCAGAAGACAAATATAAACTTACCAGCAGCAGAGTTGCTCCAAGTGCTACACAAAATACCACTGGCCCAGTGAGGTCAGTCTCATTCATGATCCTGCCATCTGCCGGCTTAAACGGATTTAGAACCGTTAATGTCTTTTGCCAAATATTTTCAAAGTTAATACCTAGCTCTGCAAAAAAACACAATTAGAGAAAAATAAATGTAGAAATATGAATCAAAAGAAATATATTTTAAATCTCATTTAATTCTAAAGAAATGTCTCAGGAAAAAAAATATCAAAATGCCTTAGGAAATGCTTCAGCAATTGTAAGACTTTACAAATTTAACATTGATTTTGGCATCAGGTGAACATTCAATTTAAACATATTTAATTAGATTTGATCATTACTAGTCACACTATTAGATATTTCAGCCACAGATAGCAATAGGAAAGATTGATGCACATGACAGAGACTACCACCTTCTTTTCCCACAACAACCCCAAGATCTTGACTCTGTGAAAAGAAATATAATAACTGATGGAAAGTGTGATTATATAGGCCAAAACGTTGATTGACATCATCCTGTTGTGGCTGCTAGGAACTGCAAGTGAAAATCTTGTGGTTTCTGTTCATATTGTAACCTTGGAATAAGCAGTACAGATTCCATGCAAAACAGATTCAAATACTTTGGAAAAGAATCAATGACAGAATGTTTTCTAAAATGCTACCTTAACAATGATTATTAGCTTCAACAACACAGTTGGGTATCTCATTTCCTACATCCACAACTCTTCGCATACTGCCTCATCAGTATTGCCTCTGTGTTTTTTTCCCCTTTCTCAACCAATGTCAGCACCAAACCATAAATTCACCAGTACTGTCTCTCTCTATGTCTCCCTCTCTCCCAGAGGGTGCAAAAAAGTGTCTCATGTTTTTGTTTTAAATGTCCTTCCATTGGTTGACTGCTTTTACTGCCGATTATGAAGAATCCTGTGAGGATGTTGAATACTCAGATCAGATTTCTAAGTAAACTCTGTTCAAAACTTTAAATTTTTGCTTTTCAGTGTAAGTAATTTCTTTAAGCCCTGGAATGCATATGATTACTCTTCATAGGAATACTGTAATTCTAAGAATTGAATTCTTTAAGAGGCAACCTTGTTATGTGGTGACCAAAAGTGTACAAAATATTCAAAATGGTCTCTTAAGATTGTAAAATGTTATCATATAATAAATCAATTTAAATTATATGCATTTAACTACATATCTTAATATTTTGTTTGCTTTTTTATTGCTTTCCCATTTTTCTGGAAAATGTAATTTATATATTAACATAATCACTTAAGTCCACTTAAGTACAGCATTTTGTATTTATAGTTATGTTTTTGCTACCTGCACATACTTTTCGACACTTACATCAAATGAAATCTGTACAGCGATTGCCCAGTCCTGAATTATATTTAAATCTATTTGAATTTAATTTGTGCTGTTATTACAGTGTAGGACATTGGTGTAATTGCTGAAAAAATCAGAAACTGTAACAGTAAATTCTGAGAGTAGTTGACAATTTTTAGAAACCAATTAAACATAATAATTTACAGTCTTACACACAAATTCTAAATAGACAATATACAATTTATTGATATGACCAAAACATGCATAACAACAAACACAATAGAATATATCTGTGAAACAATCTGCTGTGAACATGGAATGTGATAGTTCACTCAGGGATTACAAACTACAGAGATAATAACTCACAGTCTACCTCATAGGTTCTATCAGTCTCATATTACTAAATCATAATCATATCAGACACAAGTGAATATGCATTTACTATCATGAACTAAACATCAAACACATTTGTAATAATAGTTCTTTCATCAATAAAGTGATAAACTAAATTTAATACTCAAAGATCCATTGTCCAGGCATCCATGATGAGTTTAAACTTTGCACTAATAAAAAGCTGGCTGTGTTGTCCATGGCATCTTCTCTGTGCTGGGAGAAGAGAGAGAAACAGTTTTTCTGGAATTGCCCAGGAGCTTGTGCTGGCCTCAGAAAGCTCTGCCAAAGTTGTGCCCTGCTGACTTTGATCTTAAAAAAGTCACTGTACAGTTTGTCTTTTTGGGGTTCAGAAGATAGACAAAATGGGAACTCAGTTCAATCATACATGCTATAGCTTTGTTCATAATCTTCCGGAAGTCTACAAAAAGAGAGTCCAATTGTCTAATTTTTTTGATCAGGCAAAAGTAATAGCGGGTTTTCAAACACAAGATTTCTACTGTTTCAGGAAGAATATCTTGAACAGAATTGAGCACTTTACTCACCTGAGACTCACCTAAGTCTTGGTCTGACGTCTTGGTGAAATGTTTAGGTCCTGACTTAGACTGCTTGCAGTCTCATGGTAGGAAAAGTCAGTGGTTAACTGGAGAAAAAGGACTTGTGTTCCAGTTTATATGGGACGACATCAAAAGTTGATTGAGATGCTGTCAGGTTTGGTTCTGGTACCCAAACTACAGATCCCCAGTTGGTGGTGCAACAATCCGACTTGATAACTACTGCCCAAATTGGCTTACAGCTTATAAGGATTTTGGGGGTAAACTGGTTAAAGAAAAGTATCTCTAAATTTATGAATTTTGGTGGGATTAATTCAGAAAGCAAAACAGATTTTATTACAAAGAAACACAGTATTATCCAATATTCAAAACATCCATAAAACAAGTAAGGCAGTAGGAATCTTTTTCCAAAACAATTAGAACAGTTCATGCTTTGCAGAAAACTAAACACAATTATACTTAGACTATCCTGGAAGGGGCCGTGAATCTTGAGTCATTAATGGCGGTACCTCAGTCCCCTTATAAGCCTCAAAGACTCCCTCTGTGGTGTTGCCAGAAAACAGGTGTAAAAGATGTAACTCACACCACACTGATCTTCTTTGTCTTTCGTCCGTATGTTTCCCAAGTCCGTTCCGTAATCCGTTGCCTGTATCCTTAAACGATCCAAATTTCCGAGCCCGTATGTCCACACTAATCCGCACCGTATCCAAGTCGTAATCCATAAATCTTTGTCATATACCGTATCCAATAGTCCGTTATTCTTTAATTCCTTCCAGCACAATCCGAAACCTCTCCTCCCTCCAAAACGCTTTCACCTTATCGGCTTCCGCGCCGGCTCACTGCTTCTGGGGCATTTATATTCTGTTTCCTGACGCAGCTCACCTGTGTCTCATTGTTTCGCCGCATAGATCTTTTCCAACAGCGGGTCAGCTGGTTATCCTTGGCGGCCATCTTGCCTAGGTCTATATCTAGTATATCCAGTGTTTCATTACGGAAATACCGGTTATAAATGACCCTTCCCCTGTTCCTCTTACATTCCCTCCCCCTGAGATCAGCCCCGTCCTCGGGCGGTCTAGAAAAAAATAAACAGTGCATTCGGGAGAGGGCGTCTACATTCCCTTGTTTCCTTCAGGGTCTATATACAGATGCAGCCATTCAAAGTGCGCGGTACACACACGTACCGGATGTAATTGGCTACGGGGTCGCGCATTGTGACGCACAATGACGCGCAGTACGTGTTGGTCCGTCATAGAAGGATTTACAGTAAACGTCTTTACTGTGCCCGTTGTAGTATTGAATATTTATACCACTGAAGGGAAATCTTAGTACCTGAGCATAAAAAGAATAGGAGCATACTGCAACGCGTGTGAAGGCCATAAACAATATTAATTTTGGAACTTAAACATACAGTATATGGCTGGTCTCGGTACTTTAAAGAAAACATACACACCAGTATTCCATTTCTCCCTAAACATTTTAAACATCGAAGTCTTTAACT